GCCTCAGCAGTCAGTGCAGGGTGGCGGGAGCAGGCCGGGACCAGCAGCTCTTCCAAGGCCGGGACATGCGTGTTGCCGCCTTCGCGGTAGCGCGAGAGGTGCGGCCGGGTTTCCTTACACGGAGCCGACCTGGAGGCAGTTTGTCAGCGCCGCCCGCGCCTCCCGGGGCAGCGCTCTGTGTCTGCATGGCAGCTGTACGCTCGCTTCGCGGTGTGCGGCGCCACCCCCGTTCTGTGCGAGGGTTCCTGGACCAGCCCGGGCTTTGGGAAACACCCGAGACGTCTGTGTTCCTTCCGCCTAGGACGTGGTGCTGATGCGGGCGCTTCGTGACATGAACCTGCCCAAGTTCGTCTTTGAGGACGTCCCCCTGTTCCTCGGCCTGATCTCCGACCTGTTTCCCGGGCTGGACTGCCCGCGCGTCCGCTACCCCAGCTTCAACGACGCGGTCGAGCAAGTGTTCGAGGAGAACGGCTTCGTGGTCCTGCCGGTCCAGGTAGAGGGCTGACCGAGAGCCCACGCTTCTTCCTTTCTCTGTTGTTATTTCCTTTAGTTGTGGCCAAGCAGGTGCTAGGGCAGGTGTCCTCTGAGCCACTCAGGGTCCAGTCCGGGCCCTGGGCACATCCCAGTGCTGCGCGGCCACCCCGCCACCGTCTCCACGCTGTTCCACCTTCCCGACTGCAGCTGTGGCATTAAACAGCGACTCCCGTCCTCCCCGCCCGGGACCCGCCACCTGCCTCCTGTCCAGGCGCCTGCCCCTCAGCTCCTCCCGCGGACTCACCCCTCTCTGTCCTCTGTGTCTGCGTGTTTCCTCGGCCTGAGGCCCCCGGTGCATTCGTGCTGTGCTCCCAGGCATGAGGACTGCCTTCCTGAGGCTGAACAGAATCCCATTGTGTGGATGGACCACTGTCTGGGTTTTTTGATCTTGGGTTTTTTGGGCATAATGTCATCAGAGAACTTAAGTATTTTTTGGGGGGTCCAACCATCTAATGTTCTCTCCCAGCCCACCTCCCCCCCACCCGAATCACACCGAAAAGGTCAGCTGGCATTGCTGTAGGGACGGAGGAGGAGTGGGTGCCGGCGGGAGGAGCGGCTTGGGGGAGTGGCTGGTGAGCGTGCGTGTGCTACAGCCTCCCAGCCTGTGGATGTCTCGGTACCAGTGAGGTGTACACTTTCATTGGATGAATTGAATAGTGTGGGAATCATAGCTCAGTGGGGCTATTTCTTTTTAAGATGTGTTTTAACTCAGCTGCGACTCTGTCCCCAGGTGGATAAAGTCATTCAGGTGTACGAGACCATGCTCACCCGTCACACGACGATGGTGGTGGGGCCCACGGGAGGGGGCAAGTCCGTGGTCATCAACACCCTGTGCCAGGCGCAGACCAAGTGAGTATGCCCTGCGGGG